CTAAACCAGCCCTGGCAGAAGCAAGACTTGGAAGACAACCTCCCAACGGCAGAAACCTACACTAACCTCCCTATTGTGTAAAGCACTCACGCCTCTCACCAAGACTGGGTGCACGTGCGTCCATTCTTCAGCCCATCAAGGTTGTGTTACTGCAGAGCAGAGAACACCCGAGCCACCGGGGAAGTCGGTGGGAAGACAAGGGAATGGTCCTGCAGGGACACAGTTGCATCAGCTTCGTGCCCTGGGACTGACTCTGTGTTTCATACAGAACAGGGAGAGGGGGCAGAAAAAAATCAACGTACTGTCTTGTAGTTAAGCGTGTAAAACACACGAAGTACTGGGAACGGGAAGGAGAGCCATATCTCCTCCCAGATCCGTGAGCTACACCTTCTCCTGCTCCCTCTTTCCCTTCCCACACTGTGCTGCACAAAGCTTCGGAAGGGAAGGTTAAGAGGAATGCCACGCTTGGGTAAAGCCTTTTGTAGTCGCACACTTTGGCAGCGCTCAGTACCCAGGGGCACCTGCCGCTGGAGAGGAAACGGACACGCCTAATCCCAAAATCTGGATTTCAGGAAGAGACTGGAATTAGATACTGGAGCACCTAATTCTTGATGTTCCTTGGTCCTTGAGTAAAGCTAGTCTTGTTTTAGATTCCCACACACAAAATGAGGGTAGTACATTCATGACTCACAGGGATGTCAAACTGACACCTATTAATAATTAATTACTAACTTTACCCATTAATCATGACAACTATTAAGAGCGTTTCTGTGTGCCTGGAACTCATGATACAAAGCACTGAGGGCTGCCAGTATTTTAGAAACCAAACAGGAAACAATTTCAGGCTTTTTTTCTAGGGCAGCACACTAACAAAAGAAATAATGAGCAAGGAGGAAGAAGATCAGGAAAGAAACTAATTTGGGTTTGTGTATTACAATCACCTGATTTTCACACAACATCATCTTGGGGAAAGCCAGTGGTTGCTGAAGACTGCATAGTTTTTGAAGCAGATAAGTTAATCTTTAAACCTTTTTTTTTCTTTTTTAATTAAGTCCTGTGTTGGCATCACACCGCCGGGCAGATGATGCCTGAACGGGTTGCGTTCAAAAAGGTGAAGTTCATTAACACAGACCGAACACTGCGCTGATGCAGCCACGTGGCCCCTGGGTCAGCGGCGGTTTGCTTCAAGCAGCTCAAGCCAAGAGCTAATCCAAAAAACGTAGCTGCAGAATACGCACCTCATGGGATCTCTAAAAGCAAGTTTTCTTAACTATGCCCTTCAGCAAGCATCAAATCTCCCAGTGTACACGCACGTACAATTAATCCACTGAATCCGAAGGGCTTTCTGGTGATGCTCTGGTCTCCTGCGTACTGCTACAGCCAGTGCGACGCGCTAGCTTAAACTGACGGAAAAGGTACGGTTCCCTTTTGCAGCGTACAGAGTACGGAATGGTACTCTCCAGGGGGATGGATAACAAGGAGCATCTGGGAGACTGGAATGTCTTGGGTGGCCACCATTGGATTTGACAGGCTTAACCCTACAGGCTCCAAAGCACGATGCAAGGACAAAAGCTGGGAGAGCTGGAGAGCAGTACCTTGGTCAAGTGTGGTGGAACCTACCTATCTATGCATCCTTTAAAGGGGGCTCAGGGGCAACACCCCCCTCAGAACAGTTCTAAAATACTCGTCTGTAACATCAAATACCCTCCGATTCTGATTCCAAGAGAGCCTTTCCTCAAACTCTGGAGCATAACCCTCATTCTCCAACTGTCGTATACAGCTCTTCTAAAGAGACAGATAGATCGACCCCCTACTGACAGAATTTTCCTTTGAAAAGGTGGAATACACAGCTAGTGAACATGAAGTGAGTACAAAAGCCATTATTTCTGCACCCGCTTGTACTTGTGTATGTGAGAGACAAAACGACAGCATCCCTCACGCCGGGTTGAGGACACTGGCTTTACTCTTACCTGAGAGGCAAAGGGCTTGTTTCTGAAACCGTACAGTCCACAGCCCAAATTTTCTGTAGAAATTTATGTAGAAAAGTGTTCCTTTTAGAAGTTCTAGACAGGAAACAGCACAGTGTGGATTACCTGGAAGAGAGGACTGGAAGGCATCAATTCATCCTTCGAGTCAACCTCCCTCAGTGACCCCAATTACACTTGCAAGGAATCCAACCTACTAATGGGGTCTGAGAGCAGCTGATTAAGTGTCTCCCACTCCAGAGTTTGTTTTCATCCCACCTCTCTGGGGGACCAGGCTTCTTCACGCTTTCCAAATCCCAAGACTCAACTCAGCACTTCTGAGATTTCCGGAGAGATTTCCGGAGCAAGGCATCACAAACATGAAGTGGGATCACCCAGCGACCAAATTGTGCCTAGTGAAGTCCAAATAATCTAGCAATAAGGGGTGGACACCGCAGATCTGGTGGGTTATTACCTTCTCTGTGCATCTCCTCAGTGATCACTTCCTGCAAGCACCAAGCACTAACCATTTCTGAAGTGACACGCCGAGGTCACGCGTAAGCCCCGTAAGTTCAAAAGCTAAACCGCGTGACCGTTTTTCATCCCTTTATTGTATAACACCCTTTCATGGCCAACACATGCCAGCCCAGGTACCATTTTGTGATTAGCCTAAGCTCAGGGACGTTATTTAGTCACGTCCTTATGCACAGGATCCGTCTGCCACAGGCAACTGCGTCACGTGCAACCTGCGTCCCTTCTAGATACCGCAGACAGTCATCACCATCTCGTCTGCCAGCCCTGTCGCCCCAGGTTGCTGCTGGCAAAGGTAACAAAGGTGTCACACCTCCCGCTGACACGTCTTGCAGTTGGCGCTCGCTGACCCAGGTCTTATTATTACGGACACTCCGTCACTCAATCTGCACTGCACGGCTACTAAAGCTCCACCGTACGAAGAGTAGTTTGTGCCTTACTACTCAAACTAGAATAATTTTCTTCTTCAAGTGGAAATTCTTTAGAAATTCTTAAAGAATTCTTCGATTTCGGCCAAAATAAAATTCTTGGATTTGGATTGTCCATCTGAAAGTAATACGCGGATCAAGAACGGAGATCTTACGAAGAGGAACATTCCAAGTGTTTTAATGTTCATTCAAGCCAGAAAACACAGAAAGCAGACCCGAGTCTAAAGACTTGAGGCAGGCAGGTCTGCGAGGCTGCACTTCAGAATAAATTTAAACTTATTAGTACAGTCTCAACTTCTCCTTTAACC